GCCGCACCGATCCGCTAGGATCACTGGGCGAATCTTGTCCACGCCTGGTGCTTTGCCACCAAGGAGCAGCCTTCGATAGCCTTCACCACCAGGGGACGGTACGCCAGGACGCCCGCTCCTGCCTACCACCTGATGTGCATGGCACCCGACCAGAATCTTCTTCTGCCCTGTGGGTGGTGGGCCCTCTGGGCAGCAGCCCCGTGTTAATTCTTCGGGCGGTGCCCGACCGAGCCCCACGGGGCCCCAAGGCTCGGCCACCAGACGCTCTCCCTCGAGCTCCCCCCGAGGCCTGGCTCCAAGAGGGGGCCCTGGTCTCCCAGGTCCAGGCGAGGTGGCGGCTTTCCATCATAAAAAAATGTTTTGGTTTACAGTTTAATTATATCTTGAAACCGACAAATTCAGTTCAGGTTGATATCGACAATTGGAATATCGCAAGATACAGAGTTTGAATTTTCCCATTGAATAGTTTGAGACACAGTTTAGAAAGAAACGAGATATGAACAATGAGTCACCGATAATGTGTGCATTGATTAGAAAAGAGGAGACGTGATTAGTAGTTAAAAATAACTTGTACATAAACTTGCATCGATCAGGAGGAGCCCAGTATACAGTTTGTTGCAATAATGAGAATTTGAGCTAAATTAATATGTGGTGCTTCCATTGCTGCTGATTTATTTGTCTTGTGGTGAAACAAGGATGGAATCAGTGATAAAGAGACAAAAGAGAGGCGTGATGCTGACTTACATCTAATGTTCCTTTAAACTTTTTATGTGCCTGAAGGCGGTGACAAAAAAAAATTCAACAAAACAAGATGATTGAACAATGTTGGAGAGTTCAGTAATGTCATGATAAAAAACAAATAAATATTCATTATAGTATCCAAAACTCAAAGAAAAATAAGTTCTTTAACAAGAAAATCCAGATGTCACTAATGTCACACTGCTGTCTGACATCTGTGGAGGTTTTTGTGCAGCTGCTTCACTGTCTTCAGTCACTGTGTCTCTTCGAGCACAGAAGTAAACAGCAGAATCTTCAGCTGTCAGACTCTTGATCTGCAGGTACTGAGTGCTGCTGGACACATCTTCAGTCATGAGGAAACGATTTTGGAAGGCGCTGGCATAGCTGGCAGCGTTATTGCCTGTGTTCATCCTCCCAATCCACTCCAGAGCTTCTCCTGGTCTCTGTCGTATCCAGTGGATATAGTAGCTGGTCATGCTATAACCAGATGTGATACATGACATCTTGACTGTCTCTCCAGGTCTTTTCAGCTCAGATGGAGACTGGTCCAGTCTGATCTCACTCCAGACTCCTGTCAGCAAGGAAACCATGATCATCATCCATCAAACTGGTACATCACTTTATGGATATTTTACAAAAAAAAAC